GGGGTTTGTTCCTTTTTTTTTTTTTTTTTTTTTGGAGCATTGGGGCTTACCGAAGGCTGTTGAGCAAGGTAATGGCACAATCAGGGCTTCATTTAGATTAACCTAGCAGCAATATGCAGGACAAACTGAAACAGGAAAGCCTGAGGGGCGGGAATACTGGTTGGGAGCAGGCTGCAATATTCAAGGCAGTTGGTAGTGCAAGTCTGGGCCAAGCTAAGAAGATAATCAAGAGAAACATGTTCAAGAAAGGATTTGTCTCTGTCAAATATGCAGACAGTGCAAGAAATATGAGGATTGATAAAAGGCAGCTGGATTTGGTAATTAGAGGTCACAGACAACCTTTAAAAAAGAAGTTTCAGTAGGTCTTGGAAGCAGGTGCCAAATCGTACAGGGTTAAAGAGTACATCAGTAGTGACAAAGTGGAGGCTGCAAGTCTAGACTCCTCTACAAAAGCCTGGCCACGAGGTCAATATGATAGAGCTGTAATTTTGATGAAAGTGTCTAGCTTAAGTTAGAGAGTGGGAATTGGTAATGGACCCAAATCAGTTGATGGTTTTCTCTAGCAGAGTGGTCTAAATTCGTAGATCAATGGAAATTCCATGTATAACAAATTACTGCATTGACATTTTAAGTAAACATAATGTAGAATGAAGAAAGCAGAGTAGATACAATATTAGAAATCTGTGTTTCCAACTGGAATGTGTTTCCATTCAAACATGGGATTCCATGGGGAGAATGTTTTTAACAAGTACATGCGACCTGTTGCACCACTGGTCATGAAACCGATATCTCATAAATAATTTATAGTGCACAGCAGGACTAAGATCCCTGCTGTGTGTTCCTCATTTATGGTCCATAACTGAGACTCACAGCTTCTATAAAGCCACTAAAAACAAAAATTAGGGCTGAACACATAATTTCGGGTCTGGTTAGACTTATAAGCCTTGGGTTACCATCACAAAATTATGGCAAATGGTTAGTTTACTGTAGCCCCCTGGCAATTTGCAGAATGCCAGCACATTTTAACAACACAGAACTAGAACTGACAAGATGACTTTAATTTCAACCATCCTTCATTAATATGAAAATGCTTTGAAAAATAAATCTTTGGCTAATGAAAACACCATCTGCTGATGGCTTTTTGCCACTATTTTCTTACATTATGAGACATAATTTGAGGAAAACACTGAACGTTTACTTACTCACTTCCTATTCATTTACAAGGAATTAAAGCCTCCTCTCAAATTGGAATTGATTTTCAATAATGAACATACGCAAAGGGAAGCAGAGAACTGAAGCAATTTTGCAGTCTTAGAAAGTCATCCTTTCCTTACCATGACTAGCACTGATGAATCATTTAGAACCAAAAATTGGGGGCCATTCTAGGTCTGAAAGATTTGATTGATTTGGCCAAGTACTTGTCTATACTCTGGCTGAGTAAACAGAGTGTGTGTGTGTGTGTGTGTGTGTGTGTGTGTGTGTGTGTGTGTGTGTGTTTAAAATCTCTTTATGTAAAAGTAAATATTCGTCGTTGTTTGGCTTTTAAAAATTGGTTTGTTTTGCTCTTTTTATGTGCAGTCCAGTTAATGACTGGGCCAGGTTCCCTCTTTCCCAGCCCAGTTAGTGCAACTTTCTCAGAATAGTTGAACCATGACAGCAAGAGAGACAAAGTGGCAGGGGAGATTGGAATGGAGATATCTGCTGGTAGGAAATGGGGACAGGAGGTTGGCAGGAGGAGCAGGATGAAGCTCCCATTTCCTGCTGCAGGAGGTTACCTCTGGGCCTTTCTGTGCTTCCCCTTTGTGAAGGTTACAAAAGCCATTTTAGTTTATGAAACTCTTCACTTCCAGATGACTACATCGTTCTTGTTCTCACAAAATTGTACATGCATCTAAACAGCACAAAGTGAGGGGAAGATTTGGCAGGCTTGTATAATTTATATTTTTAAATGCCTGAGTTAGCTAAATTGGCAGTCTACACTGATTCCATTTTTACTCGAGTTCTACTTCATTTGTGTTGTATAGACTAGACCTCTTTACTCGGTTATACCCTTTCCAAAGAGGAAAATGTTTCACGATCTGAGAAAGCCAGGCATAGGCTATACGTCTTCCAGACAGCATCCCATTAAAAGAAATGCCTTCTCTAACCCTCTCAAATGATTGCTGGGTTTTTTTGGTTGTTGTTATTCTTTGTTTGTTTTCACATCTCTAGACAGGTTATTTCAGGTAAATTTCTCATTGGCTCTCTCAAGAAATCTTGCCATATGTCAAAACACCAGCTCTTCACTAAAGTGGGAGAGATTACCCTTATGACACAAGCTGGACCATGATCTCCATTTGTCACGCTCCATGAAGGCACATGTATTCACACATATATGAGCACACTTACACACACTGACCTGATACAGGAAGTACTGAAGCCTAGAAAGGGGTGCAGACTTTCTCTTCTACTGAAACAAGTAGTATTGCCATCAAAAGCCTGTATTCTCTGTTGCTTTCTAAAAGGTACAAGGGGAACATTATCTAAACCTAGACAAGATCCTGACTGTTTTGATGTGGAAATTGAACCTTGTGACGGGGTGAGTGGGAGGGTGAAGAAGGAAAGAAAGGCCAATTCATCCCAAACCTGAGTCTTCCCAAATGGAAGAAGACAGCTCATCTTTAAAAATAATCTAAGCCAGTGACCCCATTGCTATTCTCTGACATGCTCTTTTTTGACATCCTGTCTATACAC